ATAAAATCTTTCTTTAAAAAAAAAAAAAGCTAATTCAACTTCAAGATGGCCAAAAAAGGCAAGGCCTTTGCCGACCTCTGGTTAGTTTTATATGTGCTTATTCATCTTTTTGTCTCCTAGAACATTTTCTACAGCAGCTCCTCCAACCTTTACCCTCCTTCTCAAATCTTCAATCTCACTGCCTCCTTTTCGGAGAAGCCACAGGCCATCTGATGTAAGCTGCCTCAATTCCAAGCCTCCCCGTGTCAACATTAGCTCATTTCTCTTTAGCCCCTCTCTGGGGAAAGATCAACCTCTTTTCCAAGGGAATTCTTTCACATAGCACCTGAATCAATCAATCGCCATCCTAATTCTTTCATATATTATCTAATCCTCATAACCTTATGTAGTAGATATTATTAGAAATCTCTCAATCATTGTTTCTTCATCTCTAAAATGGGGATAAATGACTTAGCCAACAGTATTTGGCATTAAGTGATAAAACCAGCACTGAAGTCTGGTTTTTCTATTTCCAAAGCCTCTCTAATGTTCTTCTTCTTCTTTTTAATTTTTAAAAAAGATTTTATTTATTTGACAGAGAGAGAGACAGCGAGAGAGAGAACACAAGCAGGGGGAGTGGGAGAGGGAGAAGCAGGCTTCCCACGAAGCAGGGAGCCCAATGTGGGGCTCGATCCCAGGACTCCGGGATCATGAGCTGAGCCAAAGGCAGACGCTTAACGACTGAGCCACCCAGGCGCCCCCCCATCCTTTTTTTTTTTTTTAAGTAGGCTCCATGCTGGCGTGGAGCCCAGTGTGGGGCTTGAACTCATGACTCTGAGATCTAGACCTGAGCTGAGATCAAGAGTTGGACGCTTAACCACCTGAGTCCCCCAAGCCTCTCTTAACTTCCTAATCATCTTCTCGTTCTCACGTCACAATGAACTGCTCCAGTGGTAAAGGTCTCTACTCCCTCACAATCTATCTCCAAAACCTCTACAACATAAGTATTATCTCTCTACATATATGATCTTATGAAATTTAGTATAGCATGATGTAGGAGAAAAAGCACAAGTTTGAAAGTCAGATAGATGTATGAATTCCGGCTCCATCAAGTTCTAGTCTGTGACCTTAGGGTTGATAACCTCTCCCTGAACCTCAGTTTCCTCATGTGTAGTGATGCTAATACTAACCGGTTTACCTTTACAGTTAAGTTTTATCTCTTCAGTATAAGGCAATAAGGTTAGGGGCTAAGAGAATGGGGCTGCTGAGCCAGACTGACTGGGTCTGAATCCTGGCTCAATACTTACAAATTATGTGACTTCAGGCAAGTCATTCAACCTCTCTCTGCCCCAATTTCCTTATATGTAAAATGGGAGAGATACTAGTACCCATCTCACAAGGTTGTTAGGGGGTTTAAATGAACACATTAGAATGCTCAATAAACATTACCTATTAAGGCACTAGATCGTAAGTGCTTTGTGGGCAGGGATGATGACTCATATCTGTATTTTCCATCATATCTCATACGTCAAAGACACTTAATATTTATTGATGAAGCACGTCAGTTAAGCGTAGGACTCTGGATGCTGGAAATTTCAGGCAAAATATTTCTTCCCTGTCCCTTGCTTTCTATACTATCTGTAAACACACTACAGTGAGTGATCACTTTTCAGACTTAGTTAACTACCCTGACAATTTTTACCAATGGTGACTCACTTTTAAGCTTCTTAAGCAAGTTAGCCCAGTGAACAGAACACTTGGGTGCTTTCACGTTGTGTTTGCAATTGGAGCAATTAGGCTATATTACAATCTAGAAACTGATCACAATTTAATCTTTTCTTTTTTTACTCTTGATTCTCGAAAAGATAAAGGAGAGGCTTATTTTAAATAGCATTTTCCAGGATTTAGGTAGCTAAACCGACATGACAGAAATAAAATCGTCGGTGGGCTGAATCTTGGAGGGGTAGATATTCCCAGAGTAAGGAGCCTTTTCATCCAGAAGTCAAGCTGAAAAATAAAGGTCTTAAAATAATATACTGACATAACAGCTATGATGGTATAAGTAAGTCAAAGAAAAGGTAAATGGCAGACAGTAATTAGGATTAGAAAACACTGATTCCCATGGCACTGAAAATTCTTTGACCCAATCCCATCTATTCTCAAACTGGACTTGGGGGTTAGTTAGGAGGCTGTTTATCCATATCCCCCATTGCCATACTGAGAAAATGGAACAGGCTAAAGAATGCCAAGTCGTGGCAAAGCAAGCCCAGATTTGACTCCCAGATAACACCCTTCCACTTGATATTCGGCAAGAGATACTCTTGTTTTTCCTTTACAAAATACTAACACTAAGGTACTCCATTACCTTTTACTACCAGAAACATCAGGAAATGCAGTCAGTAATACCACTTTTCTATTTAGCTCAAGAGTTAGAGGAAGTTAATGGTATCAACTACCAAGGAGCAAATATTTTCAGGGCAATTCTAAGTACTTATTTGATATTAAAAAAAATACTGTGTTTGCCTCTTATACGACTAAGGAATTAAAAGAACTATTTTAAGCCTAACCTGAGAAAATGCAGTTATAACAGCAATAATAATAGTATCACAGCTATCGTTTATTGAACATTTACTTAGGGGTCAGGTGCTAAGCTAAAAACATTTCTTCCTCACAATAACCCTCCTATCATTTTCCCCAATTTATAGATCACAGTGTAAGAGGGTAAGGGACTCGCTTAAGATCACACAGAACAATTAGCACAGTGGGACAGGAATCCTGGTCTGACTCTAAAGCAGGAGTTGGCAAACCACAGTGATGCTTTGTTTGTGTATGGCCCATGAGCTAAGAATAGTTTTTTATGGTTTTTAGCTTTGTAAAAAGAAAAAAAACAAAAAGAAGAAAATGCAACAGAGACCTATGTGACCCACAAAGTCAACAATATTTACTATCTGGCCCTTTACAGAAAAAAAGTTGTGTCTGGTCTGAAGCCCTGCACCTTTTTTTTTTTTTTTTT